CAAATGCAAAACATTGTCAGGTTTAACAAAAGCTATTTGATTGCAGTGAACTTTTTCTTTTTGTTGAAACCAATATTATTTTCCCAATCGCTTGATTCTTCTCATAAGAGCGTGCGGTTAATCACTGATCTATTTTTTTAACTAGCTAGTGATAGGCATAGCTAAGAAATTTTTTCAAATATTACAGAGCACATTACTAAAGGTGTTCCCATTACTCTTGATAATCTAAGGAAGGTTTTCTCAAAGGAATTTGAGGATTTCTGTTTTTCTTTTGCCAGTTGGACGAAAGAAAGAAATGAAATTGACGTCCATGAACGTTTATGACCGTTGACTGTTTCGGGTTTGAAATAGTTCGTTCAATACAAATTTTATGGCTTTTTTAGTAACACAATGAACTTGGGGTTTCATTTGACAATTTCAGTAAAGTTGAAGGGTTTTTTTTTATTAATTCAATTATACTACCGCAAATCTAATTTATGTAAACTAAATAATTTATTATTGATCCTGATGCATACCAAGAGTATATACATACCGGTCTTTGATTGATTCCACAATTCTGAATCACATGATTTTTTTTTGCTATTCTTGATTTTAACAAATAAATAAAAAAGGAAAAAATATAATTCGTATCCAAACCAGTAAGTACCACACATTTGAAAACAACTAAACCACTTTGGTTCAAGCCGACCTTTAAAAGAAAATGTCGGTTTGGTTGTGAATAATGTGAAACTCGAGACAAGAAAAATTAGTACTAGAGACAGGGAGAAAGAGTCTCTGGTCCTATCGTCTTGTTATTTTCCCGGTAACAGGGTAGGAGCGGCTACGAAACCGCTCGATTTTCATCCCGAGCCCTTGATCGTCGTCTAGCTATATACCAGTTTCCATGACTTCAGGTTTTCCAATTTCAGATTCAATTTTTCTACGAATCTATATATCTCTATCGGATCGATATATGATATCCAATTTTCTGTTTTTTTTCTTTTCGATATGATTGATATTTTCTCCTTCAAATCATCACTTAGAGGGTTAAATTACCTATTGGTAATAGTCTCCTGAAAGGTGTTCTATTATTATTACAAATTGAGAAATGAAAATTTTCGTTTTTTTTTTAAAATTCATTCATTCATATACAAGTTGTATTTTTGATATGATGGAGAGTCAAGCAACTAGTGGAGGAGGTGGAGAAATTGTGATTACTTATTGATTCTTTTTGATTTCACAGATGCTCTCACAGTACCATCTGAGCTTGAATCTGCTTTGAGGCTCAGGACTGTACAATACTTTATTACAAAGAGGCCTTGGCTTGGTAATCTTAATCTTTTAACAAACATTATGTAATGTGATTTTACCATCCTTTATTAGAACTGGGTTTTCATGAGTTGCAGTTTCTCTTTTTTTCAGATCTCTATGGAGTCCATGTGAGGCCCGTGGCACCGTTCGGAAGTACGAGCAGTAAACCCCATTTTGATCCAGCGTTGATTCATCGTTCCTTGCCCGATGAGCTTCTCTTTGAGGTTGAAACTTTCTACCCTTTTTTTTGTTTGTTCCCATTGTACTTCAAATCTGTTTTGTTAACTGCTGAAGTTGTTCCGTGGATGTGTTACTTGTAGGTATTTGCTCGGATGTTGCCTTATGACCTAGGAAGAGCGGCTTGTGTCTGCAGAAAGTGGAGGTACACGGTTCGAAACCCTGTGTTCTGGCGTAACGCGTGCTTGAAAGCTTGGCAGACTGCTGGGGTTATCGAAAACTATAGGATCTTGCAGTCTAAATATGATGGATCATGGAGGAAAATGTGGCTTCTAAGATCCAGAGTTCGTACTGATGGTAATCTTTCTTTATACATACTCCCACGTCACGTCACAAAATTCTAACGCCAAGTGGTTATTGTTATATCTTTTGTATCTTCTTCTCAGGTCTTTACGTGAGTAGGAATACTTACATTCGAGCTGGAATTGCTGAGTGGAAGATTACAAATCCAGTTCACATTGTAAAGTCTTTGTTTTTTATTTTTCTTAAACTTGCTCTGTTTTTTCTTTTCTTCATCTATCCCATACAGACCCATTTAATGAGTTGCCTCTTCTTTTGGAATTATTTTTGCAGGTTTGTTACTTCCGCTACATAAGATTCTACCCTTCTGGGAGGTTTCTTTACAAGGTTTGCACACTACGATCTAACTAGGTATAAGCGTTGAGCTGTGGGCATGATCTACTCTGATCATTTTCATTGGTCTTTTTTTTGTTATCCTCCAGAACTCTTCGCAGAAATTGAAGGATGTAGCCAAGTACATGAACTTTAAGGCTTCTAAAGCAGATTCTGTTTACAGAGGCACTTATACATTGTCAATGTTAGATGATAAGGTTAGCTGCCTCTAACTGACGGTTGGCTGGAAATCATCGTCATTACATCTTCATTATCCTGAAAACACGTTCTTTTCACAGATCGAAGCAGCTGTTCTGTATCCAGGGACGCGTCCTACTGTCTTAAGAATCCGTTTAAGGTATTACAATCCCTCAAAACATCACATTTCGAAAGGTTTGGCTTCCCTAACGATGAGGTACTTATGGGGAATCTAGACTCATTGTGAAGGAGTGGTTATCTTTTAAGTACTGTGGCTAATTATCTGATTTTACGGTGAATGTGATGAATATTTCTCTGATTTATAAGCGAAAACACAGGGTTAAACTGAATAGCTTGTAGTCAATTTGATCTTTATGGTATGGGTTTGTTTTTGGGTGTGGTTAGGTTAAGAGGAACGACGATTGGAGCCAATAACCGGATGGATCTGCTGTCACTTGTGACAAGTGGTGTGAACGATGATGAAGTAAGCAGCACAGAAGAGGACATTCTTGGAGTAGTTGAAAATTGGACAGACGATGAAACTCACAATCCGGATATACCTGCCGTCTCACACAAGAGGGGTATGACCCCATTCGTCTTCGTTCCTTTCGAAGAGGTAAGTAAACCCCGGAAAAAAAAGCTTGCTCTATACCCTTTTTTCCGTTTCTTACAAATCACATTTCGATTACATTGAATATGTTTTCTTGATGTAGGTTGACCAATCGGTCTTGAACTTACCTCCGGAGAAAATGGATTACTTTGTCCCTGGCTAAAGACAAATCATCGTCTCTGTACAAAAAGAAATGTATCATAGAATAATAATATGTTTTAACGTTCTACTTCGTAACCATGACAACATTAGTGTTTGTTTGTTGCTGTTACAAGCGAGAAACTGTGAGACATTTGTGGATTTTGTGTTGTTTACAGAGACATAAAAGAAGCTTAAACAATGCAATGTTTATGTTTTATTATTCACCAAAAGCTTCCGTACAAGCAGGACTTGATCACATGCTGGATTTGAGCAACTTGGGATCATCCTCTGAATGATGAACCAAATGCTTCCACGTTGGGTTCCGAGGAAGAAACGTTTCCTGCGAAGACAAGAAGACACACTGTTTCGTCGCAATTTCGAGAAAAACAAAAAAACAGAGGAAGAAGTAGCGATGTGTACGGAAACGTAGGAGCAAGTTGGGATGATGGAGAAGGAATGAGAGGAGGCGTGTTCGAATGCGGCGACACAGAGATGCGAAGCTAAACCTAATCCTGCTTTCGAAGACGGTACGTAAGTTCGAACCAGATCCATGATCTTCCCGTTGTTCTGGTATTCGATAAAAGCTTCGTGATCCTCCGTCTCGAATCTATGTCTCCCTTCGTTCCACACAATCTTAGGTTTCT